TGTAATATATACAACTTGCAAAACCTTCGCAAGTGTAACCTGGCTTTAAAAGCGCACAAATGCGGCTAAAAGGAATAAAAGGAAAATCGGTCGATGGATCTATAATTTTCCCCAAACAAACACAGAGAGTAGTCGTCAACGAGTAAAATCCGAGGCAGCTACGGGAAAAGCTCTGTTCCACAAGGGACGAAATCACTCCCCTCTTGTTCCCCATCCTTAAATCCGACATAGACAAGGGGTTTCGCCACAGCACCGTGCTTCCTTTGCAATGACAAACCCCAAACTGCAGACAGAGTCTTTCCCTGCAGACACTGCAAACCTCCCGGGAGACACAACCCAAACTTTCAGTGGGCTCGAAAACAAATGAAAATTTTAACGAAGAATTTTAATTTCTAGATATTAAACAGAGGAAATTTAAATCTTCACAGATTTCAAAACAAATTTTGGCCCAAAATAGAGCGAAACACCAACGCAAAAACCTAAGTGATCATGTCGGAGGATCTCACCTTCAAGGACCTAACTGTATCAACGCACTGCAGAAAAATGACAGGATGGATAAGAGAACCTTTAAAACTGGAGGCCAAGCCCCTGTACCTCTTTAGGTCACTTTTTTCTATCAGGCGGGGAAATTGCCTGCACATAAAACACCTTTCAAGGCAGGAAATTTCCCACCTAAAAAAAGTCAGAGAACTTTCACGTCGCATAACGGAGATAAAACACCCAAAATTTTTGGGGGCGCTTTAGGTTCCCCAAACCTGTATTCCCCGGAACGCAGGAGGGGGAAAATACATATTAAATTTCACCCGGAAAAAAAGGGGGACTAGTACCGACTTGCACACGAAAATCCCTCCTACGAAAGCAAAAGACTTGGGAGACGATGCACCATCCCCCCCAAAGAAAAGCGGGGTGTCACTACACGTTAAGGGACCATACAATAAGGTCAGGGGGGCCCAGACTGTTCAAAGCCTCCCAGCACACATAAGGGATTACCAAAAACCCCCGGCACTTCAAGCTGGCAGGACAAGCACTAAAGTCAGTTCCCCATCGCCGTCGTGGGTCGTCTTGGTTTCGTGCAGCCAGCAGCACAGCCTGGGTTACAGGGTCTGAAACCACCAGGAGGGCCCGGTCTCAACCGGGCCCCGGGGGCTTGACCCCGGGAACTTCCCCCAGGAAACCCAGTAAATATTATTATATATAAGGGGAAAACCCGCACCCATTGAGTCCCGAGATGGGAAACAGTGCCTGCACTTGAAGGGGGGGTGTTAATGTTGCATTTTAAAAAAACTTGTGAAAAGACCCTTCTGGCAGACAGTGATGGAGTAAACGTGGTGAAAGTTTTTTTTTTTTCGGGCCACCCTCCTTTGGGGGGGAATGGGCCATGTGATAAAAAAAAAAAAATTTATATAATATATAATATATAAATATATATATTATATATATATAATATATAATATTAATAATAATATATAATATATATAATTATATAATATATATAATTTTATTTATATATTATTTATTTATATAATTTTTAAATATTATATATTATATATATATATTAAAATAAAATTATAATATATATTATATTATATATATATATATAATATAAAATATGGGAATCAAATTCAAAGGGGAAAATTGACAGTTCTTTTTGCTGTGATACTGTGCTTATGGATTTTTCAAAGAAAAATTGCAAAGGTTAGTGGGATTTTGGGGGAATTGTGAAAAGGGAAATTTAAAAGTGAACATAGAAAAGAGTAAGGTATGGGGGTGTCAAATGTTTTAGATAAAAAAAAATTTGGGATATAAAATTGGGGAGGGGGATTTTGGGAAGAAGTAAATGTTTTAGATACTTGGGAGTTGCGTGTCGGCGGTGGATTATAAGGTGAGGTTAATCATAGAATTGATGGGGAAAAAAGGTGGTGGGGTTAGGTATAGTGGAGTCAAAAAAAACTTATCTATGGAGGAAAAGAGGGAATGTATAAAAGGGAAAAATAGACCAAACACTCTTATAGGGTGTGAAGTTTGGGGGGTAAATCGCAGCGAGGAGACGGTTGGAGGCATGGGATGTCCTTTTTAAAGGGGCAATGTGTGGTTAAATTTTTTCAGAAAATTCGGAGTGTGGAAATTGGGAAAAGGGTGTGGAGTTAAAAAAGCATTATAGGGGCAGAAGAGGGGTTGTTGAGGTGGTTTGGTTTTTTAGAGAAATGGATCAAAGTAGAATGACATGGAAAGCATTAAACTATGGGGGAAGGAAGGCGGGTGGGGTCGTCCTCGAAAGGGTTGGGGGAGAGGGGGAAAGGGGGTTTTGTGGTTAAGGGGGCTTGGACTTCCAGAAAGCTGCGTGGGGTTTTTGAAGGAGTAAAGGGGCGAAATGGTATTTGGGGGACCTCATCTTTTGGAGTGTGAGCAGGGAAAATATTTATGGGGGATTCAGGGAACCGGTTATTTTCTATGTCGGATTTGACCCGGGAAATGGGAATACAATGCCTGCACTTTAAAAAGGAGGGGTTTGGATATTGGCAGTTTGGAGGGATATGTTGTGTATCTTTAATTTTTGGGTATCTTCTAACTGTTGTTTTCTGGCCCCTCTGAAAAAAAACGTGTAATGTGCGGTGTGGGGGAAATGTTAAATGATGATGAAAGTATTTTCTTTTTGGGGATTTTCTTTCTTTTTTGGGTCACCCTGCCTCGGTGGGAGACGGCCGACTTGTTGAAAAAAAAAAAAAAAAAAAAAAAAATATAATTTTAGGCCAATTACATGTACTTTATTCCATTCGACCAAATTCCTAGCTATTTCACTAGTATTACTTCTATTTTATCTATTGAGCACAAGAAATCGCCAACTCAACCGTTTCAACTACAAAATAGCGATTGGAAATTGGTAATTTGGCCAATTTAGTGCAGAGTTCAAAATATTCCAATTTCAAAATAGGGTCCAGAATAAACAATGCAGGCATTCCTGGCACTAAACTAACATTTCCTCTGTTCATTAGTTACGTTTTCAGACTTTACAAATGAATTCCATTTTCATTTTTAATTCACATAATGAATTTTTATTCAAACCAAGAAATAGAAGATTTACTGTCGTGCAATATTGTAATAATTGTATAAATAATATCAGCACATTTTTGAATGTATGTTAGACCCACCAGCTGGCGTGTGTTATACATGTGAGGTCATTTGTTTACTCTTGAACATCGGCAAAAATTTAACATTTCCGCTACTTTGAGCTCAGTTTCAAGCCATTTTTCAGTACTAAAACCAATCAAAATCATCTCTGTTTCTGTAATATATCTTCCACTCTATCAAATGAGACCCTCTTTACCAAAGGGCTGGCACTAGAAACTTTCTTTGGGCCCATGGTGGCTTATTTAGCAGTTACAAGCACTAAAAACAATGGAATAATACAAAATGTATCACATGTATGCGTGGAATCGTCCTCACTGGCTTGTAAACAATGGCACACTGGCTGTACATGGAGTGTCTGGGCCGCTCATGGCATGCAGACACGTTTGGGACTATTGTCTTTAACCAAGTTCTTTGTTGCTAACTGAGCTAATATTTTGACACAAAAAGTGTTATCCGATGACGTCGTTAACTGAGGGTCCACTGTATATATACTCTAGAATAAATAAAATAAGCCATAATATGACGAGTGGTGGTGGCACCTTCTGCTCCCGCACTGACCATATCTTCCCATTCTTTCCCTTCTGACAGTGGAGTGCTTGCCAGGCTAACTACACTAGATCACTAGTTTCATAAGGCAAACACTGAAACATTGTATTTATAAATAAGAAATATTGTATAAAAAGATAATAAAACATAGGCAATGTAAAGAAATAAACTGGTTTTATGAAGTGTACGTACACTGGCGGAGGTGGAGGATGGAAGATAGCTTACCTGCTACACTCTTAATGCTTCACTTTATCACTGAACTTAATTACTCCACTCTTCATGCTACGCTTTATCGCTGAACTTAATTGCTATGCTCTTAATGCTACACTTAATGGCTAAGGGGGAAGTCGCTTATAACTCGGATTTTGGGTCGTTTTTCAGCAAAAAATTGACCGAGTAGCTGCTTGGATCTCGGAAACTCGCGTGTTAGGGCACTCGTAAGTCGAGGTTCCACTGTATACCCAGTGAAAAGCAGGGGTGTGGTTGGCACAATAGGAAACACTATCAACATCATGGCTACAAATTATTCAACGTCTTACCAGAAGATATCAGAAACACTGCTGGTACAATTGCAGGCTGTGATGGATACATGGGGCAGCGGGCTTTCAGCAGCAACAGCCTGGTTGGCCAGGCTAGCACCAGATGACTATGCTCTGGGAGTAGAAAGTCTCTCAAAACTCATCAAAGGTATATGAAATGTGCAAATTACTCAATTGTTAAATCCCAATTGACAGTTTGCCTGTTACCTTAATGCCATGGCCTGATTATGCAATACTATACATATTTATAACAGAGTGCAAAATGGTATCATGAGTAAAGGCAAAGTGACTTAGTTTTGTCTGGTGGGATTTCAGAGGCCTAATAATGGCAGCAGTGTAATATCAAGATACATAAAATGGTGTTAAGGCAAGTTACCAGTGTTTGTGAAAAAATGTTAATGTCACTATGAAAATTATGGCTCCAGAGCAGTAAAATCTGGCTCTTTCAGTTAATATTAATTGCAACAAAAAATCATGGGCAATGTAAGAAATAAGTGAGTATCCCACCAAGGAAGGGTGACCCCCCACCCCTCCCTACAAAAAAAAAATTGCATATGCATTCACCATTCATTAACTTTTGCCAGAAGTGTGCTGACATGATCCAGATGACCAATCCAAACTGTAACATTGATAGATCATTTGCTTTGAGGTCTATGCATTTCTAGATAAACAGCTGATTGGTGGTACATGGCTGCTATGATAAAAAAAAAAAATTGGATTACCTATATACTTTACTGAATAATTTTCCTTCATTTTTAAGTTTTTGTTTACCATTCTATGTTCCAGGAAACTACTTTGTGTACTGGATCTGACCCATCAGTCATCCCAGAGAAGTTGGTTACTGAACAAGAACAGGAACTTTTGGCAAAGTTCAAGCCTGTGTTACAGGCTTTTCTACATGACCATCTTCCTCTTCAGGTCACTGCTGTGTATGCACTGCAGGTCTTCACATACACTCAGAACTTCCCCAAAGGTTAATATTCCTGAATCTGATCATTTAAAGTTTCATTTTAAGGATTCTCTTACACAAGAATTTTTTACTTTTTTTTTTTTTTTTTTTTTTTAATTTTTACTTCTATCATAAGCAATTACTTTGAGAGACCTGAGGCCATCTAACAAATTTGTTTGAAGTACGTACTAATTTTAATGTATACAGGAGGGCCCCACTTATATGCAGGTTGGTTCTGGGCTACTGCTGTAAAGGGAAACCGCCTTTTTTTTTTCACATTCAAGTGAATATAAAAGCCTGAGAATATGTTTACAGTATCATATATTAAATGAGCAATAGAGCTAGGCCTAAAAAATGCATATATAGTGGAACTCTGGATTTCGTACTGCACTACATCACAGTTTCATAAGGAAAACATTGAAACAATGTACGTAATTTATAAATTAGAAATACAGTGGACCCCCGGTTAACGATATTTTTTCAATCCAGAAGTATGTTCAGGTGCCAGTACTGACCGAATTTGTTCCCATAAGGAATATTGTGAAGTAGATTAGTCCATTTCAGACCCCCAAACATACACGTACAAACACACTTACATAAATACACTTACATAATTGGTCGCATTCGGAGGTGATCGTTATGCGGGGGTCCACTGTATTGTATAAAAACATGAGTGAGAATGTAAAGAAAGAGTGGTTATTGTATGTATACTATAATATGCTCCCATAAGGAATATTGTAAATTAGATTAGTCTGTATCAAACCCCCAAAAATACACTTACAAAAGCACTTTCTAAAATACACTTGCATAATTGTTCGAGTTGGGAGCTGATCATAAGTCGGGGGTCCACTGTACATACTTACCTAGGAGGAGATGCTGGCAGAGGCTTAGGGTGGTGGAAGATAGCACAGGGTGGCGTATGTTGTCAGTGGCCCCATAAACCTTTAACAATATTGGAGGAGTTAGTTTCGTGTTGTCCTTTCTATCGCTTATTCGCTTAACTTACTTGCTACGTACACTTAATGCTACACTTTATCGCTGGCTGGCGCTATAGCCTTTATCGACTCGTGCTGCTTTAGTATCATACGTATCATAGAATCACTGAAGAATTCTATTGTGTTTCTCGCCTTTTTTATCAAAGGGCTGGCACTCTGAACTTTCTTTAGGCCCATGGTGGCTTATTTAGCAGTCATAAGCACAAAAAAACAATGGATTATTACAAAATGTTTCGGAGTAATGTTTACTCGCCTATTAACAAAGGCAGACTTGAGTCACAAACATACAAGTGGATGTGTCTGATACGTACGACTTCCGGGTGGAGGTACAAAATCTGGACCAAAATTTTGCTCAAAAAAGTAGTCAATATCCGAAACATACGATATTGGGTGCGTACAAAATCCAGAGTTCCACTGTACTGTACACAAATTACTTCTCTTCTTTCAACAAACCAGCTGTATCCCACCGAGGCAGGGTGGCTTAAAATGAAAAACAGAAGTTTCTCCTCATAACTTTAGTAATGTGTACAGGAGAAGGGGTTACTACTAACCCCTTGCTTCTGGCATTTCAGTCGCCACTTATGACACACATGGCTTATGGAGGAAGAATTCTATTCCACTTTCCCATGGAGACGAATTACTTGAAGTATTTACAGGAGGCCCTCCATGTTTGCGAGGGTTAAGGGATCAAGAACCTCGCAAATCTTGAAAATTCGTGAATGTTTGGTGCACAAATATGATGTATGGAAATGTAATAATACTGTACTGAAGCGTTCGTGAAAGTTTTGATGCACAAATATATTGTAGGGTAGGGAAATATAATAATAGCATTTACTTAGGCTAACAGTACTGCTTCTTTAACCTATTGAACCATGAAAACATCATAAAATATTGTATGTTCATGTTATGGTTTAATAGTAAATAATGAACAAACAAAACACTTGCCACTCGTGAGGTTAGGCAGATGAACTCTGATGACTAGTGATGATGGTGACAGTGACGATGATGGTGGTGATAGCCATGCAGTTACAGTTGAATGGATCTGATTAATATGGAGTGTAACTGCATGGAATGATGAGTCTAGCATGTGGATTCTAACTCTTCACTGCCGACATTGCTAGAGTTAGCAACGGAGTCAGATTCTGCCGCAGGTTGAGGTTCAGGTGAGACGGTAGGGGTAGCAGCTGGGCATTCGTGAATGTTCGAAGATCATGAAAGTGGATCACGCAAAAGTGGAAGGCTAGCTGTGCGTCCTTAGTTTATAGCGATTGGTGAATATATTTATTATAGGAAGTCTGAATAAATGAAGACTGGGTATAATTTAAAAATCACTGGATTAGTGAAACGCTGTAAAGCAGGGCCCGCCTGTATTGTAATTTGATTGACATTTACAGTTGGTAAAAGTCAAAGAAATCTATACTTTTTTCATAAATCAAAACTTTTTCTTCAGTGACATTGCCAATTTTTTGCACAGGCATGTTGCTGAGGTGGTTTGTGAATCTGTATGATCTGGAGATTATTGAAGAAGATGCCTTCTTAAGTTGGAAAGAAGACTTGAGCCAAGACTACCCTGGCAAGGGAAAAGCTCTCTTCCAGGTGAGTTGGTAGAAACGCTTTACTTTTGTAATTATTCCATGATGCTCATTGGGAGGGTTTTAACACTTTCACTGTCACTACCCCTGAAATTAAGTGTTGACTGTGGCAATTTAAAAAAAAACTGTTCTAATGGTGAAGAATCTGTCTGAAGGTAATGATGCCATCAATGTAAAATTTGATGGGAAATTTATAGAATTATTTAGGCGCTAGTATGCCTGATGTTCTATCGCATACAAGAAACTGCGCTTTCACCCCTCAGAATTACCTACTTAGTGCGCAAAAGTTGGCAGTTTGGCCAATTTTACAGAAAATTCAAGTTCAAATTTAAAAAGTCCAAGATAAACACTGTAGGCATTCCAGCCACTAAAGTAACCTTCCCTCTGTTCATTAATCATGTCCCCAGGCCTTCTATATAACACTTGCCCTCCATTTTGAATCCACTCAAAATATCGAAGTTTTGCCCTGTTTCTTGGATAAAATTCAGCCAAGAGTGAATGGTCATGGTTTAGGCTGCCCAAGTTGAAGTGCCCTTCCTCAGGAAAATGTCAAAAAAAAAAAAAAAAAAAAAAAATGCTGCTTTGAGACCTATTTATAGCTACTTCTGGTCTGCCACTGACCAAAAATCATCTCTTTGACCAGCCTCAGTTGCTATATTAAACCAAATAAGGTGAGAGGTTTGCTTTTTCTCATGCATGTTTTTTTTTTTTTTCTTCACACCCATCACAAACCCTTCTCATGTCTTGGCCACACAGTACTGCTTGCAGTATAGTAGAGGACACTGCACAAAACTTAGATCTACTTAAACAACATGGGAGTCATTGTAGATGTATGTGGAATGGTTAATTATGCCTATGGTAGTTAATGTTTGAGAATAGCTGTGGCTAAATTTATTCATGTTGGAGTATGAGCAAGGTAACATTTTGTGAATGGGTTCAGTGAGACCAGTTGGCCAGCTTTGAGTCCTGGAGGTGGGAAGCACAGTGCCTGCACTCACGAGGGACAGGGATGTTTAGCAGTTTGGAGGGGGCACCGTACGTAGGTGGGAGACAGCCGGTTTGTTTAAAGAAAAATGAACAAAAATGTAATTGTATTCCTGTCAAAATTTTAATTGGTTTAATACATATTAAATGTTGCAGTAAGGTAGAAACTAAAGATAGTGGAAATGATGCACCAGAGATCAGTGTGGAATGTATGTATGTATTCCAAGTAAAAAAAAGTATGTGCTAACTAGAGAGGTTAGAAGTGAGAAATATTTTTGGTGCACTTCCCCTTCCCCATGCATTCCCATCACATTTACACAAATAAGTGACTTATTTTTAATTGTAGGTGCATGCATATTAAATAACCGTGAAAAATTGTACTCTAGGCTCCTGTTAGTGGTATCAGCATTGATTTGGATTCTGTGGTAATTGGTAGCACAATGTTTATCAACCAGTGCTATGCTTTGAGGGTATTGTTTTTTTATATTCCTGTTCAAGCCTTAGCTATTCTAATTTTGTTTGGGCATTAATCACTTAATGCCATCCATATCTTGCTGGTTCTGGAATTTATTTAATGATTTTTTTATTTTTTTATTAACATATCGGCTGTTTTCCCACCAAGGTAGGGTGGCCCAAAAAAGAAAAACTTTCACCATCATTCACTCTATCGCTCTTGCCAGAGGCACACTTAAACTAGTTATAAAACTACAACATTAATACGCTTTCAGAGTGCAGGCACTGTACTTCCCATTCCTTTGGATAGTTTTCTTCCAGGAATTGTATGAGTTGACCACTGTCCAGCACAAGAATAAAAGCTTATACCCCCTCAGCCAACACATTCCATAGAACCTGTCTGCATGTATATTTTATCCACCAGCCCCATGTTTACATTATAGTTCACATTAACACTGCTGCATTAGTGCACTTGCATATACTACATATAATGGTATCAGAATTGTTCCAGCTATTTGACCTTTGTGCACATCAGCCAGTTATTTATATTTGTCGTACCAGTTAGTGCTAGAATCTTGTTTGCTCTGAAGCTGCGTAATCAAAGCTTTAGAAAATGCAGACTGACAGTCCTGCATTGGTGTTTGAGAGTGGACTGCATGCAGTGACCATTGAAGAGGCTGGAGGTACAAATGTTGTGCATGGAAGGTTGGTTGTGTGGGCACATTCTGAATGGTTGGATGGTGTGGAAAAGGTGTAGTTAGGTAGGGAAATTATAAAATGTGTCTGTGGGCATGTTGTAATGGAGTAAATGCTTGTGGTCTTGGGAATCTTAGTTGATGTGACATTAATGTGATAATTCTGGTAATAGCTGACTGGACTTTTGGAGATGGGGAAAGGATAATGCTTGCATTTAGAAATTGAATGCATTTTCTTCAAGGGTCACACTGGCCTGGTAGTTAATCCATGTTGAAATGTATGTTAATATATATATATTTTTCCCCCCCTTTTTTTTTCTTTTTTTTTTTTTTTTTTTGCAGGTGAATCAGTGGCTTACTTGGCTGCAGGAAACTGAAGATGATGATGAAGAGGAAGAAGAAGCCTGATTTTGTCAACAAAGTTTCATTGCTATATGAACAAGGAATTATGATCAGTGAATGTCAAGATATTGTTAGATGGAGATAAATTGGAATTGATAAGATTGCCAGTATAAGATGCAGCCAATATAGAAGTATGATGAAATGAGAACTATGAATGAATCAGAACCCTTGCTCTGAGGAGACTGTCCTGTTTCTAAGCTTCCTGGGTATTTAACCCTATTATTCTCCTGTTGCTGCTGTTTGAGGCAGAGACAGTCAGAACTCCTGGGAACAAGGCTTTGACCAGTGCTCTTGGATGAGGTAACTAAACATAAGTTTAATGAAGCTGGATTCAGAGTAAAAGAATTAGAAAACAGTGAGTTTCAGCCTTTGTTGGTTCAGGAATTTTGAGGTTTTGGCTAACACCAAAGTGTTCTCAAAACAATACAAGATGAAAAAGTGTAAAAAGACAACAAAAAAAAAAAAGGAAAATTTTCCTATAAAACTGAAATGATGCCTTAGTGTTGTATGACATTGCTACATAATCTCTCGTAATTCAATTAGCGCTTCAAGTTGTCATCACTTAGATGTATAGTAACATATTTAGCAAGCACTTCACTATTTAACTGTTTTTAAACCTTTGTGACTGATATTTTTTATGTACTCTATAGCTTTATTTTCCACCATTTTATTTTACCAAATATGTGTTATACATTGGATAAATTAATAATGGTGTAATGGAGGTAACTTCTCTTATGAGAATTACAAAGTTAGATGGTAGATTTGTTTTGTACTCGAATATTAAGTATGTTAGTGTAAAGTGTGTATGAGGATTTTTATCAAGAATACCCCCATCGTACATAGGAGTGTTATTTTGGTTCATTAGGATTTTTCAGCCTTTGGGTTAAACACTCAACTCTCAATTTTCAGAATTCCAATTATGGGAATGTCTTCAAAATTTTAGGCAGTGTGAGACTGAGTAAATCATTCCATAATTAGTAGCCTTGGAGTTTGGATGTTCTTTCACCACTTCGCTGTCATTGCCTGCAGCTGTAGCACTGACCAATAAACATCACTCTGAAAGTCTGTTTGCATTCCTTAGATTTTTATATACTGTAAATTTTAATTATGTTATGAAATGTCATTGTTGCACTAAGAGCTGTTCCATACTTTTATGCTGTATGACCTGTATAAATTATTAACCTTATTAGATCTTGTATCATTTGCTTTCTTTCTCGGCATTTCCTTTCAAATTTATACAGATGGCATTTGTTTCCTGCTATCAAAAAAGTGATGCAAAACCCATGTGGGTCATTTAGTGCTGCATGACAAAGAACTACATTGGAGAATGAATGCAGGTGAGTGCCAGGAGTGTCATTCAGCATTGCTCCTCTTTCTTAGTATTTGAGTGGCCTCTCCTACTCTTACTACCTCCCCACTACTACCACCACCTGCTTATATATATCTATCCTGCTCTCCTTTTCATTAGTGTGACTGTAAATGGTCCAAGTCAGACTGAAACGTCGTCGTAAGCTCCTCTCTTCTATGTGCGGGTTATTTGTGTATTCCAGTCATGGTATTGTGCCTTTGTTATTTAAGAACTGAAATGAAAATGGGCCTTGAAAGAGGGCAACATTAATTAAGGTATTGCCTCTTCAAGGGAGGGGCTCCTTGGCTATTGGACCCTTCAGTCTTCTTCCGACTGAACCTAATTAACCCCGAATCCTCCCCGTACTTCCTTTACCATTCCTCATCTCTCCATCCCTTCCCTTTTCCTTTCCTTTTTTCAGCCTTTGGGGTTCTTCCCTCAGGCATTCTAGTTTCTAGCCTCTTCAAGGGGGGCTCCTTGGCGTGGTGAAGAGGCTCTTGGTCTGAGGAATTAGACCTGTCGGTCTACTTCCTAGACCGAATCTAATTACCCCCCAATCCCCCGTTCCCTATCCCATCCTCCCCTTTTTCCTTTCCTCCTCCTCTTCCTCCTCCCCATCCTCCCCTTTTTCCTTTCCTTTTTGGCCTTTGGGTTTTTTTTTTTTTTTCCCACAGGCACGCAAGTTCCTAGGTAGGGGAAAGGGTACCGGGGTCCATCCCATTCCGTTGAGTTCTTGGCAGTGGCGTAGTTTGCTGTGGAATCTGGATTGCCTGGGGATGTCCTGATCCCTCTCCAGTATCCTGGAGGGTGGCTTTGGGTGTCTCTCGGGCGCCGGGTGTAACTCTGGAAGCCACCTTTCGGATTCCGGGGGTGATGGGCGAAGGAGGTATGCTTTGTGGCGGATTTCCAGCCGCCCTCTCTTTTGTCCACCGAGGTAGCTCGGCAGATGTGAGGTTGCTATGCCGGTTTACTGGCATGATGGGTAGGGTATGGCACGGGTTCCATGCTGCATCTGCGCTACTTGGGGTGCTGAGGTCCTCTTGGGCGCGGAGGGAGATTTCTGGCCCTTTCATTCCTCCTAGGAACTATCCCTCTCCGGTCCCCCCTTTTTTTTATTTTTTTTTTTTTTTATTTTTATTTTCTTTTTTTTTCTTAAAAACAAAAAGAAAGAAGTAACCTAACCATGGCAGCCCTAGTCCATGAACCTGCTAACCCCGGGCCCCTTCTTGATACCGCACCCCGTTCTGACCCGCCTCGTCTTTGGACCACTCTTCGGACATTCCTCATGCCTCTGTACCTCTTGCCGGTGCTGTTTCCTCACCCGCTTCAGGTACTGAGGCCTCGACTGACTCCTTCAATTTATCTGACCTTCGCTCTCCTCTGACTATGCTTCTGGCCTCTCCCTCTACGGTGCGGCAATTTTCGAATCGCCGGCCCGTTCCACGTCGGACCAACTCTGGTCCCACGCCTAAACGACAACTACAATTACCTGCTGATGATACTTCTCCACCTTCTCGCTCTTCTCAGAAAAGATCGACACGTCCTTCACTACCTTTCCACGCTCAGTTTCAGACTGCACAATGGACTAAATTCTTCACTTTACGACCAATTTCCTCTACTGCCTATCTTTCTGACCACAGTATTGGCAGGGCACTCCTATGCCATGTTGGTAAAGATATTTCTTTTCATGCTCTTAAGAGCGGTACGCGCATCATCACCGTACAGAATGCTACCCAGGCTCATGAGCTTTCTCGTCTTTCCCATATCAATACTGTTCCTGTAACTATTGAAAAGCATCATTCCCTCAATTCTTGTAGTGGTACCGTCATTCTGCCCCATACCATAGTTCAACAAAATTTCCAGACATGTGGCACTGACATTCTTGAACAGCTGGAACTCCAAGATCTCCCAATCCTCAAGGTAGACACTACGTTCTTCCTGCCCGCGGGCGGAGACGATACCCTAGCAATGTGGCTCATTTAACTTTTGACAGCCATGAACTCCCATCCTCAGTTTATGTAGCAGGACATCGGTTACAAGTTCGAAAGGTGATCCCTACACCGCAACAGTGTAGAAATTGCTGGCGATTTGGCCATCCAGCGAAATATTGCAGATCTATCGCCGAATGCCCAGTCTGTGGTGCCGATGACCATTCTAATACGTCTTGCAATCGACCTCCCTCTTGCCTTAATTGTCATGAGGCTCACCCTTCGTACTCTCGCCATTGTCAAGTCTACTTAAACGAGCGGGAAATCCGTTACCTCAAAGAGGCAGAAGGTCTCTCTTATGCCATGGCAGTTTCTCATCTCCGCCTCCAAGGGAGACTACCTCGTGTTTCTTATTCCCGTGTTTCAAAACGTCCCCCCACTCCTGGTATCCCATCTTCTGCACCCACCTCTGTGGTTACCTCTCCCATAGTCACTCCTGTAGCTAATTCTTTTGCTGTCCTCGACTCAGACGTCCCTACTTCAACGTCTCAGTATGATCTTGCTTCTTCATGTTCTCTCTCACAAGCCTCAGTAACGACGAGACCTCGTATGACACCTCCCAATTGTCCCTCTACTTCTCAAAAGTCAAAAAAAGGTCCGTTAACACCTCCTACCCATCTTCCACCTCCTCATTTTCCCTTCCCTGTCTCTGTACCTGGTTCTCCCCCTCTCACTAGCTCTGTTACAAGTGTAGAGGTTCACCCTCCTCCTCGTACTGTACCTTCCTCCCCTGTTCCCTCCCAGTTTTCCTCTTCTCCACCTCCGGTTTCTGCCTCTTCTGTCCCCTTCCACGCTTCTCCAGTTCCCTCCACCCTTCCGTCCCCCCCTACCTTGGTACAGTCCATTACAGTTCCAATCTTGACTCATCCTCCCCCTACCATTTCCAATATTGTCTCCCATATGACGTCTCTGAATTCTGAAACACTTGAAGCAGTCTCTGAATATATTGCAGAGACCAAACCATCAATGGACACTGATCCACCCTCCGCTCCTTCTCTCTCCTCTACTCCATCTGCGCAACTCCTTTCTTCACAGCGCACCGTTCCTTCGCTGCTTGAACGTTTTCCACTGCTTCCGCATGTGGACTTTTCTAACCCCTCTAGTCCGTAGGAACCCTTACCTGCGGATTTCAGGTATCTTGATCATTGCCAATCATGGCCTATTTACAGTGGAACATACGCGGCCTCAGGGGTAATCGGGGTGAGCTTCAGATGTTACTCTCCCAGTTTTCCCCTGTTGGTGTTTGCTTACAGGAACCAGAATTACACTCTGCTGTTATCTCTCCCATCTCAGGCTATAATTTATTGTATTCTTCAGATCCTTTTCCTGATGGGACCTTTAATGAAAGTGCCCTTCTTCTACGCACTGATATTCCGTACCATCAGCTATTTGTTCGTACTTTGCTGCATTACACAGCAGCCCGTATCCACTTGCATAGGTGGTATACGCTCTGTTCTTTATCTCTCTCTCCTCGGGCATTATCTATTCCAGATATTGCCTTTCTTGTTTCGTCATTACCACCACCGATTCTGTTACTTGGTGATTTTAATGCCCACCATTTCCTCTGGGTGGGGTCTCGCTGTGATTCCCGTGGCATTCAGTTAGAGGCTTTTCTTGCCACCCACCCCCTCCATGTTTTAAATACAGGTACTCGCACCCATTTTGATCCTCGGACTCGCACACTCTCTTGCATCGATCTCTGTTTGCTCTTCCTCCGCCGCATTAGACTTCACTTGTCTGTTCTTCCGGACTTACATGGCAGCGATCATTTCCCAATCATTCTTACTTCCCCTTCATATTCACCACCTCTTCGCATCCCACGCTGGCAATTTGATCAGGCAAATTGGAACCTTTACTCACACCTAACTTTTTAGAGAGGTTCCTTCTTCGTCCTCCATCGATGAGCTTTTACACCTCTTCTCGTCCTCCGTTTAACCGCAGCTTCTCATTCTATACCCCAAACTTCGGGCAGGCATTCTCAGAAATGCGTGCCTTGGTGGTCTCCTGCTTGTGCTCGTGCAGTACGTTTGAAACGCACTGCATGGGGCAGGTACCGGTACAATAGAACCGCTGAGAGACGTCTTGATTTTAAGCAGAAGCGTGCAATCGCTCGCCGTGTCATCCGTGAAGCTAAGCGCACTTGTTGGCGAGACTGTTTCCACCATCGCCTCTGCTTCTTCTATGAGTGCAGTCTGGAAAAAAGTGAGGAAATTGAGTGGTAAATACTCTACTGACCCGGCTTCTGTTCTACGGGTCGCTGGTGTTGATGTAGCTAACCCTCTCGACGTTGCCATTGAACTTGACACACATCTGGTCTGTATTTCCCGAGGGCTCCATCTATGCACCTCGTTTCTTTCCTCAAAGTCTGCCGGAGAGTTAGTACCCTTGGACTTTTCTTCTCTCAGAGAAGAACAGTATAATGTGCCTTTTACACTTCAAGAACTGGAGGCAACGCTCTCAGCTTGCCGATCATCGGCAGCTGGGCCTGACGACATTCATATTCGTATGTTACAACATTTACGTCGGTCAGCCCTTGTAGTCCTCTTACACCTCTTCAATCTTATTTTGACACAAGGAGTTCTTCCCCAGCTGTGGAAATCTGCCATTGTTCTCCCTTTCTGCAAACCAGATACTACAGGACATGATGCCTCCCACTATCGTCCCATCGCTCTTACTAGTGCAATTTGCAAAGTGATGGAACGTCTCGTAAATCGACGTTTAATTAATGTGGTATTTAGAGACACAACAGTCTCTCCGCTAGTCAATATGGCTTTCGTAAGGGTCGTTCTACCGTAGACCCCTTACTAGGCTTGGATACGTATGTTCGTAATGCCTTTGCGAATAATCACT